ATGGGGCAAGGGGGTAGGGTCCCATGGGGGGGGGGGAGGGATGGGAGAGACCATTTGTGGGGGGGTTGGGGGTGTCAAAAGGGGGTTTGGGGGCACAGGGAAGGGGGTTTGGGGGGGGTTCTGGGGGGGGGGGGCTAGGGATGGGAGAGACCATTTGTGGGGCTATGGGGGGTGTCAAAAGGGGGTTTGGGGGGGGTTCTATGGGGAGGGGGCCTAGGGATGGGAGAGACCATTTGTGGGGCTATGGGGGGAGTCAAAAGGGGGTTTGGGGGTGTCAAAAGGGGGTTTGGGGGGGGTTCTATGGGGGGGGCTAGGGATGGAAGAGACCATTTGTGGGGCTATGGGGGGTGTCAAAAGGGGGTTTGGGGGTGTCAAAAGGGGGTTTGGGGGGGGTTCTATGGGGGGGGCCTAGGGATGGGAGAGACCATTTGTGGGGGGGTTGGGGGTGTCAAAAGGGGGTTTGGGGGGGGTTCTATGGGGGGGGCTAGGGATGGAAGAGACCATTTGTGGGGCTTTGGGGGGTGTCAAAAGGGGGTTTGGGGGCACAGGGAAGGGGGTTTGGGGGGGGTTCTATGGGGGGGGCTAGGGATGGGAGAGACCATTTGTGGGGGGGTTGGGGGTGTCAAAAGGGGGTTTGGGGGGGTTCTATGGGGGGGGCTAGGGATGGGAGAGACCATTTGTGGGGCTATGGGGGGTGTCAAAAGGGGGTTTGGGGGGGTTCTATGGGAGGGGGGTAGGGATGGGAGAGACCATTTGTGGGGCTATGGGGGGTGTCAAAAGGGGGTTTGGGGGCACAGGGAAGGGGGTTTGGGGGGGGTTCTATGGGGGGGGTCCTAGGGATGGGAGAGACCATTTGTGGGGCTATGGGGGGTGTCAAAAGGGGGTTTGGGGGGGTTCTATGGGGGGGGTGGCCTAGGGATGGGAGAGACCATTTGTGGGGCTATGGGGGGAGTCAAAAGGGGGTTTGGGGGTGTCAAAAGAGGGTTTGGGGGCACAGGGAAGGGGGTTTGGGGGTCTGAGGGGGGGATCTATGGGGCAGGGGTGGGGGGGGATGGACCCATCTGACCCCCGCCCCATTGCAGAGAACCAACTGCTCCCCACGGAGCTGCGGCGCGAGGCCTTGGAGCTGCAGAAGGAGCTGGAGCTCGAGGCGCCGGGGGGGGGTGAGTTTGGGGGGCACCCCCTAAATATATGGGGGGCACCCCCTAAGTAAGGGGGCAGCACCCCCTAAGTAAAGGTTGGGGGTCTCCGAGCCCGAATTTGCCCAAATCCCCTTGAAATCCCCCCAAAACGCTGTTGAAATCCCCCTACATCCAATGGAAGGGGGGGGGGGGGGCGTGGCTTGGACAAGCCCCGCCTCCTTTCCTTTCGCCCCGCCCCTCGCAGAGTCACCCGGTAACCATGACGACGAGTACCGGTGGGCGGGGCTAGAGCCGCCCAAGGTGATGGTGACGACGTCACGTGACCCCAGCGTCCGCCTGCGGCTCTTCGCGAAGGTGGGCGGGGTTTCAATGGGGATAAAAGACCATATATGGATAAAAGGGGAGGGAGGGGGCGTGTCCCGTTGTGACCACGCCCCCCCACCCCTTGGCCCCGCCCCACAGGAGCTGTGCCTGCTGCTGCCCGGCGCCCGCCGCATGAACCGGGGCCACGCCGAGCTCGGGGCGCTCGTGGCCGCGTGCCGGGGCGCCGGCGTCACCGACCTGGTGCTGCTGCACGAGACCCGCGGGAGGCCCGGTGAGGGGCGGGGCCTCGGCCGTATATGGGGAAAGGGGGCGGGGCCTCGGCCGTATGTGGGGAAAGGGGGCGGGGTTTGAAAGGGGGGGGCGGGGTTTGAAGGGGGGGTGGGAGGGAGGGGGGGTGATGGTGATAAAGAAAGGAGGTTGATGTAATGGGAGGGGCCAAAGGAAGGGGCGGGGTTTGTTGTGAAAGGGCGGAGTTTGTTGCTAAGAGGCGGGGTTATGGGGAAAAGGCGGGGTTTGTTGCTAAGGGGCGGGGCTTATGCTAATGAAGGCTTGTGGGAGTGGGTTTGATTGTAATAGGTGTACAGGGGAAGGTCTTGATGTTAAGGGGGGGCTATAAGGAAGGGGCGGGGCTTATGCTAATGAAGGCTTGTGGGAGCAGGTTTGATTGCAATAGGTCTATAGAGGAAGAGCTTGATGTTAATGGGAGGGGCTACGGGAAGGGGCGGGGTTTGTTGCTAAGGGGCGGGGCTTATGCTAATGGGGGCCTGTGGGAGCAGGTTTGATTACAATAAGTCTATTAAGGAAGAGCTTGATGCTAATGGGAGGGGCCAAAGGAAGAGGAGGGTTTGTTGTGAAGGGGCGGGGCTATAGGGAGGGGCGGAGTTTGATGCTAAGGGGCGGGGCTTATGCTAATGGAGGCTTGTGGGAGTAGGTTTGATTGTAATAGGTCTATAGTGGAAGGTCTTGATGCTAATGGGAGGGGCTATGGGGAAGGAGCGGGGTTTGTTGTGAAGGGGCGGAGTTTGTTGCTAAGAGGCGGGGTTATGGGGAAAAGGCGGGGTTTGATACTAAGGGGCGGGGCTTATGCTAATGAAGGCTTGAGGGAGCGGGTTTGCAATAGGTCGATAGGGGAAGGTCTTGATGCTAATGGGAGGGGCTATGGGGAAGGGGCGGGGTTTGTTGCTAAGGGGCGGGGCTATGGGGGAAAAGGCGGGGTTTGATGCTAAGGGGCGGGGCTTATGCTAATGGAGGCTTGTGGGAGCAGGTTTGATTGTAATAGGTGTATAGGGAAAGATCTTGATGCTAATGGGAGGGGACACGGGAAGGGGCGGGGCTTGTTAAGGGGAGGGGTTTATGCTAATGAAGGCTTGTGGGAGCAGGTTTGATTACAATAAGCCTATTGGGGATGGGGCGGGGCTTGATGCTAGGGGGCGGGGCTTGTGGGAGGGAGGCAGAGGGGGTTGATGGCGATAAAAAAGGGGTGGGGGTGGATGCTAATGGGCGGGACCAAAGGAAGGGGCGGGGTTTAATGCTAATGGGAGGGGCTACGGGAAGGGGCGGGGCTTGTTAAGGGGTGGGGTTAGTTGCTAAGGGGGCGGGGCTTATGCTAATGGCAGCTTGTGTGAGCGGGTTTTATTGTAATAAGCTTATTGGGGATGGGTGGGGCTTGATGCTAATGGGAGGGGCTACATAACGGGGCGGGGCTTGTGAAGGGGTGGAGCTTATTAGAAGGGGTGGGGTTTATGCTAATGGAGGCCTTTTGGCAGGGGGGTTGATTGCAATGAGGGTAATGAGGGGCGGAGTTTGATGCTAATGGGAGGGGTTATGGGAAAGGGTGGAGCTTACTAGAAAGGGGGCGGGGTTTATGCTAATGAAGCTAGGATGGTTTGATTGCAATTAACTTATACAGGAAGAGCAGAGGTTGATGCTATTGGAAAGGACTACGGGAAGGGGTGGGGCTTATTAAAAGGGGCGTGGTTTATGCTAATGAGGCGCTGTCATTGCAGTGAACCCATTGAGAAGGGGCAGGGCTTGATGCTAATGAGAAGGGGTGGGTGTGATGGGAAGGGGCGGGGCCTCGTTCGGGAGGGGGCGTGTCCTGACGAGGCCCCGCCCCCAGACGGGCTCTGCCTCTGCCACCTGCCCCACGGCCCCACGGCCCATTTCACGCTGAGCGGCGCCGTGCTGAGGCAGGAGGTTGGGGGGCTGGGGGGGGCCCCGCTGGCTGCCCCCCATCTGCTGCTGCTGCGCCTCGACTCGGCCCTGGGGCGCAGGGTGAGGACATGGGGGGGCAATGGGGATGGGGGGGGGGAATGGGGATGGGGCAACATGGGGGGGACAATGGGGATGGGGGGACAATGGGGATGGGGGGGACACAATGGGGATGGGGGGGGGTCAATGGGGATGGGGGGACAATGGGGGGGACAATGGGGATGGGGGGGACAACGGGGATGTGGGGACAATGGGGATGGGGAGACAATGGGGATGGGGGGAACATGGGGGGACAATGGGGATGTGGGGGGCAATGGGGACAATGGGGATGGGGGAACATGGGGGGGACAATGGGGATGTGGGGACAATGGGGATGTGGGGGACAATGGGGTTGGGGGGAACATGGGGATGTGGGGACAATGGGGATGGGGGGGACAATTGGGATGTGGGGGACAGTGGGGATGTGGGGACAATGGGGATGTGGGGGGCAATGGGGATGTGGGGACAATGGGGATGGGGGGGCAATGGGGATGTGGGGATAATGGGGATGGGGGGGACAATGGGGATGTGGGGACAATGGGGATGGGGGGACAATGGGGATGTGGGGACAATGGGGATGGGGGGGGGACAATGGGGATGTGGGGGGCAATGGGGATGGGAGGAACATGGGGGGGGGGCAATGGAGATGGGTGTCCCATGGGTCCATTTTTGGGGGGGGTGGGGGTCCCATGGGTCCATTTTGGGGGGGGGATGGGGGTCCCATGGGTCCATTTTTTGGGGGGGGTGGGGGTCCCATGGGTCCATTTTGGGGGGGGTGGGGATCCCATGGGTCCATTTTTGGGTGTTGGGTGGGGGTCCCATGGGTCCATTTTTTGGGGGGGATGGGGGTCCCATGGGTCCATTTTTGGGGGGATGGGGGTCCCATGGGTCCATTTTTGGGGGGGGGATGGGGGTCCCATGGGTCCATTTTTGGGGGGGGGATGGGGGTCCCATGGGTCCATTTTTTGGGGGGGATGGGGGTCCCATGGGTCCATTTTTGGGGGGGGGGATGGGAATCCCATGGGTCCATTTTTGGGGGGGATGGGGGTCCCATGGGGCCATTTTTTGGGGGGGGATGGGGGTCCCATGGGTCCATTTTTGGGGGATGGGGGTCCCCCATGGCAGGTCGGGACCATCCTCAAGCACCTTTTCCCCGTGCCCCGGCCCGACTCGCGCCGCGTGGTGACGTTCGCCAACGAGGATGACGTCATCCTGGTCCGGTGGGTGCTGGGATGGGGGGGGAGGGGGGGGTCCTCATCGCCATGACAACCCCTCCCCCCCATCACCCCTCCCACCCCCACAGGAACCACGTTTACCGGCGCCGCGGCCGCAAGGTGGAGCTGGAGGAGGTGGGACCCCGGTTCCAGCTGCGGCGTGAGTGACCCCAGAGTGACCCCTGTGACCCCAGAGTGACCCGTGTGACCCCTGTGACCCCAGTGTGACCCCAGTATGACCCCTGTGACCCCAGAGTGACCCCTGTGTGACCCCTTGTGACCCCAGAGTGACCCCTGTGTGACCCCTGGGACCCCAGTGTGACCCCAGAGTGATCCCTGTGACACCAGAGTGACCCCAGTGTGACCCCTGTGACCCCTGTGTGACCCCTGTGACCCCAGTGTGAGCCCAGTGACCCCTGTGTGACACCAGAGTGACCCCTGTGACCCCAGTGTGACCCCTGTGTGACCCCTGTGACCCCAGAGTGACCCCTGTGACCCCAGTATGACCCCTGTGACCCCAGAGTGACCCCTGTGACCCCAGTGTGACCCCTGTGACCCCAGTGTGACCCCAGTGACCCCAGAGTGACCCCTGTGAGCCCAGAGTGACCCCAGTGTGACCCCTGTGTGGCCCCTGTGACCCCAGTGTGACCCCTGTGACCCCAGTGTGACCCCAGTGACCCCAGTGTGCCCCGTGACCCCACCCCGTCCCTACTGACCCCAATGACCCCAACCCATCCCTATTGACCCCAATGACCCCAACCTGTCCCCATTGACCCCAATCCATCCCTACTGACCCCAATGACCCTAACCAGCACCTATTGACCCCAATGACCCCAACCTGTCCCCATTGACCCCAATGACCCCAACCTGTCCCCATTGACCCCAATGACCCCAACCTGTCCCCATTGACCCCAACCAGCCCCTATTGACCGCAATGACCCTAAACCAGCACCTATTGACCCCAATGACCCCAACCCATCCTTACTGACCCCAATGACCCCAACCTGTCCCCATTGACCCCAACCAGCCCCTATTGACCCCAATGACCCCAACCCATCCCAATGACCCCAATCCATCCCTATTGACCCCAACCCGTCCCCATTGACCCCAATGACCCCAACCTGTCCCCATTGACCCCAATGACCCCAACCCATCCCAATGACCCCAACCATCCCCTATTGCCTCCAATGACCCCAGCCCATCCCAATGACCCCAGTCCATCCCTATTGACCCCAAGGGCCCCAACCAACCCCTTTTGACCCCAATGACCCCAACCCATCCCAATGACCCCAACCAGCCCCTATTGACCCCAATGCATCCCTACTGACCCCAATGACCCCAACCCCTCCCTATTGACCCCAATGACCCCAACCAGCCCCTATTGACCCCAATGCATCCCTACTGACCCCAATGACCCCAACCCATCCCTACTGACCCCAATGACCCCAACCTGTCCCCATTGACCCCAACCAGCCCCTATTGACCCCAATGACCCCAACCAGCTCCTATTGACCCCAGTGCATCCCTACTGACCCCAATGACTCCAACCCATCCCTAATGATCGCAATCCATCCCTATTGACCCCAAGGACCCCAACCAACCCCTATTGACCCCAATGACCCCAACCCATCCCAATGACCCCAACCAGCCCCTATTGACCCCAATCCATCCCTACTGACCCCAATGACCCCCACCACCCCCTATCGACCCCAATGACCCCAACCCATCCCAATGACCCCAACCATCCCCTATTGCCCCCCCTCCCCAGCCTACCTCATCCGCTTGGGGACCCTGGACCAAGGCGACGCCGCGGACGTGGAGTGGCGCTGGCACCCATACACGGCCACCGCCCACAAGCGCCACCTGCTGGCAGCACCCACCCCTGCACCCTGACCCCCACCCGGGGTCCCCTCCCCCCCCCCCCCCAAGGGGTTTGATATCGTGATATTAAAACGTTTTAATCGTGATTAACGCGGGGGGGAGGGGCCAGGCCCCGCCCACTCGGCCGGAGGCTCCCGGGGGCCTTTGGGCTTCCGGATGCGGGTGTTGAATCCTATGGGATGGGCGATGGGAAAGGGGTCACCTGGGGTCAAATGGGGTAACCCCTCCCCCCCCCCCACCCCAATACTCACCGAGGTGGGGGGGGCTGCTGGGGTCCTCCGGGGGGGTCACGACCTCGTAGGTGACGTCACTGGAGGCTGGGGGTGGGGGGATGGAGGTCAGGGCAATGGGGGTGCGATGGGTGCATGATGTGGGCCCTATAGATGTACCTATAGGGGAAAGGAGGGGTCCTACAGCCCCTATAGGGTGGGGAATGGGCCTAGAGGTGCATCTATGGGGTAAAGGAGGGGTCCTATAGCTCCTATAGGGTGGGGAATGAGCCTATGGGGGAAAGGAGGGGTCCTATAGCCCCTATAGGGTGGGGAATGGGCCTAGAGGTGTATCTATGGGGCAAAGGAGGGGTCCTATGGCCCCTATAGGGTGTGGAAGGAGCCTAGAGGTGCATCTATGGGGTAAAGGAGGGGTCCTATAGCCCCTATAGGGTGGGGAAAGGGCCTAGAGGTGCACCTGTGGGGGAAAAGAGGGGTCCTATAGCCCCTATAGGGTGGGGAATGGGCCTATGGGTGCACCTATGGGGCAAAGGAGGGGTCCTATAGCCCCTATAGGGTGGGGAATGAGCCTATGGGGGAAAGGAGGGGTCCTATAGCCCCTATAGGGTGGGGAATGGGCCTAGAGGTGCACCTATGGGGGAAAGGAGAGGTCCTAAAGCCCCTATAGGGTGGGGAATGAGCCTATGGGCAAAGGAGGGGTCCTATAGCCCCTATAGGGTGGGGAATGAGCCTATGGGCAAAGGAGGGCTCCTATAGCCCCTATAGGGTGGGGAATGGGCCTAGAGGTGTATCTGTTGGGTAAAGGAGGGGTCCTAAAGCTCCTATAGGGTGGGGAAAGGGCCTATAGTTTCACCTATGGGGGAAAGGAGGGCTCCTATAGGGTGGGGAATGGGCCTATGGGTGCACCTATGGGGCAAAGGAGGGGTCCTATAGCCCCTATAGGGTGGGGAATGGGCCTAGGGGGGAACCTATGGGGGAAAGGAGGGTCCTATAGCCCCTATAGGGTGGGGAATGAGCCTATGGGGGAAAGGAGGGGTCCTATAGCCCCTATAGGGTGGGGAATGGGCCTAGAGGTGTATCTATGGGGCAAAGGAGGGGTCCTATAGCCCCTATAGGGTGGGGAATGGGCCTATGGGTGCACCTATGGGGTAAAGGAGGGGTCCTATAGCCCCTATAGGGTGGGGAATGGGCCTAGAGGTGTATCTATGGGGCAAAGGAGGGGTCCTATGGCCCCTATAGGGTGTGGAAGGAGCCTAGAGGTGCATCTATGGGGTAAAGGAGGGGTCCTATAGCCCCTATAGGGTGGGGAATGGGCCTATGGGTGCACCTATGGGGGAAAGGAGGGGTCCTATAGCCGCTATAGGGTGGGGAATGGGCCTAGAGGTGCATCTATGGGGCAGAGGAGGGGTCCTAAAGCCCCTATAGGGTGGGGAATGGGCCTATGGGTGCACCTATGGGGCAAAGGAGGGGTCCTATAGCCCCTATAGGGTGGGGAATGGGCCTAGAGGTGCATCTATGGGGTAAAGGAGGGGTCCTAAAGCCCCTATAGGGTGGGGAATGGGCCTATGGGTGCACCTATGGGGCAAAGGAGGGGTCCTATGGGTGCTATAGGGTCACACCCCCACCCCCCACACACACTCACCGGCTGGCGTGGGGGAGGGGCGGCGCCCGGGGCTCCCGAGGGGGGAGGCGGGGCCTCGTCCCAAGGGGGCGGGGTCTCTCCCTGCGGCCACGCCCCCTTTTCGCGCCTTGTTGACCACCGCGTAGGTGACGTCCATTGAGGAAAACGGGGGGGGGGGCACCCGGAAGAGTCCAACGCGCTCCTATGGGGGGGAGGGGAAGAAGGAAGAGATAATGGGGGGGGGGGAGGGGTTGGACCGAGGGGTCCCGTGCTCCCCCCCCCCCCCATGGGGTTTGGACTCACCTGATGTGGGGGGGGGGTCAGAGGGTCCCGAGCTCTTTGCCCTTCCCCCCCCAGCTCCTCCTCGCACTTCCCCTTTCCCTCGAGAGGAAGTGTGGGGCCCACAGGCCACGCCCCCCCCTTGCTAAGCTCCGCCCACTGGGTCCCTATAGCCCCGGGGGGGGGGGGGTGCTCTTTTAACCCTATAGAACCTCTTGGGGTCCCTGTAGCACCTTTGGGGGGGGGGCCACAGACCCTATAGGGCTCCTGCAACCTCTATAGGGAGCGCTGGGGGTCCCCATAGGCTCATGGGGCTGCCCCATAGTGGTGTGGGGGGGACCTTGAGTGCATCTGGGGTGCTCTTAAAGCACATGTGGGGTCCTTACTGGACCCAGAGGGGGTAAAGAAGTTTATAGGGCCTCTGGGGATGCCCTATAGCCCCCATAGGGTGCTCTACAAGCTCCCTATAGAGTGCCCTACAAGCCCCCTTTAGAGTGCCCTACAAGCCCCCTTTAGGGTGCCCTACAAGCCCCCCATAGGGTGCCCTACAAGTCCCGTATAGGGTGCCCTACAAGTCCCCTATAGGGTGCCCTACAAGCTCCCTTTAGGGTGCCATACAAGCCCCCTATAGGGTGCCCTACGAGCCCCCCATAGGGTGACCTAAAAGCCCCCTATAAAGTGCCCTACAAGCTCCCTTTAGGGTGCTCTACAAGCCCCCCATAGGGTGCCCTACAAGCTCCCTTTAGGGTGCCCCACAAGCCCCCCATAGGGTGCCCTACAAGCCCCCTTTAGGGTGCTCTACAAGCCCCCTATAGGGTGCCCTACAAGTCCCCCATAGGGTGCCCTACAAGCTCCCTTTAGGGTGCCCTACGAGCCCCCCATAGGGTGCCCTACAAGCCCCCTTTAGGGTGCTCTACAAGCCCCCCATAGGGTGCCCTACAAGCTCCCTATAGGGTGCTCTACAAGCCCCCCATAGGGCGCCCTACAAGCTCCCTATAGAGTGCCCTACAAGCTCCCTTTCGGGTGCCCTACAAGTCCCCTATAGGGTGCCCTACAAGCTCCCTTTAGGGCGCCCTACAAGCTCCCACTCTGGTGCCCTACGAGCCCCCCATAGGGTGACCTACAAGCCCCCTATAGAGTGCCCTACAAGCTTCCTTTAGGGTGCCCTACAAGCCCCCTATAGGGTGCCCTACAAGCCCCCTATGTCACCCTGGGGTCCCTATAGGGCGCTAGCGAGGACCCATACATCCGGGTCACGTGAGGCGGGAGCGCTCTGGCCCCGCCCCTCGCGAGTGACGCCACAAAGGGCGGGGCTTGGGGAAGCGGCGCGGGCTGACGGGAGAACCCGCCAAAAAAGCTGCGTCACAGCCCGGGCCCCGCCCCTCGCGCGGTCTGATTGGTCGGCGCTGGTGGACCCCGCCCCTCTTTCCCCGAGCCGGGCGCTGATTGGCGGGAAGGGGCGGTGCGTCGCCGCGGTGACGTCAGCGGGCGCGCGGCGCGGCGGGGCCCGGAACCAGCGGCGGCGGCGGCGGGAGCGGGAGCGGGGGTGAGCGGGAAAGGGGCGGGGCCAGGGCCGGGTGGGCGGGGCCAAGGGGCCGGGTGGGCGGGGCCAAGGGCGGGGGGGGGGCGAGAGGGGATGGGGGCGGTAGAGGAAGAAATTGGGGGGGGGTACGGGGGGCGTGGCCTGTGAGCCCAAGGGCGTGCTCCTGATTGGTCGAAACCTGGGGCGTGGCTTGGAGGGGAGGGAGCATAGGCTGTGGGCGTGGCTTACGGGGGGGGGCGTGGCTTTGCAGGCGCACGTGCTCCCGCCCGCAGGTCGCCATGGCGACGCCTTCCTCTTCTCCACCCGTGCACCGCGATGGAGCCCCCCAGAGCCCGAGCTCGGCGCATCCGGATGCGGGCGATGGGGAGGAGGAAGAGGAGGAGGAGGAGGTGATGGCGTCCCCGCGGTGTCCCCCTATGGAGGAAGAGGAGGAGGAGGAGGTGATGGCGTCCCCACGGTGTCCCCCCATGGAGGAGGAAGAGGAGGAGGTGACGGCGCCGTCGGCATCCCCCCGGTGTCCTCCCATGGAGGAGGAAGAGGAAGAGGAGGAGGAAGAGGAGGAGGTGACGGCGGCGTCGGGATCCCCCCAGTGTCCCCCCATGGAGGAGGAAGAGGAAGAGGAGGAGGAAGAGGAGGAAGAGGTGACGGCGGTGACGGCGGCCACGTCGTCGCTGTGGTGCCGGCGCGGCGCTGACGAGGACGTGACGGCGGCCGGGTGGCGGTGCCGCCGCAAGCACGTCTTCGTGCTGAGCGAGGCCGGGAAGCCCATCTACTCCCGGCACGGCAACGAGGAGGCCTTGGCGGCCACCATGGGCGTCATGATGGCTTTGGTGTCCTTCATCCAGAGCGGGGGCAACGCCATCCGGGCCATCTGCTCTGGTACGGGGGGGTTTTGGGGTAGGGTGGGGGGACGACACCATCAAAGCCATGCAGGGAGAGCGCCCCTATTGGTGGCTATGGGTAAAGGAGAGCCCCCCCCCAACCCCCTGCCCCATAAGTGTGCCCTCCCAAGGCAGCCCCTCTGACAGCTGAGCCCAGGTACAACGAATCCCCCCCCCATAACAACAACCCCCTCTAACAACTGATCTTCAATACAGCCACCACCCCCCCCAATGACTGACCCCAGGTACAACCACCCCCTCTAACAACCCACCCCAAATACACGGGCTGATGGTTGGAACTGGAAGACCTTCAGGTCCTTCCCAACCCGAACCATTCTATGGGTCCATGATACAACCAACACCCCCCAAAACAACCCATCCTTCTAACAACCCACCCCTAATACACAGTATAATGGTTGGACCTGGAAGACCTTCAGGTCCTTCCCAACCCAAACCATTCTATGGG